AACTATATTATCTTGTATAAAATAGTTAAAGTGGATGTCAACTTACAACACATTTAATACGATGATGGAAATTGTTTCCTGGCAGCACCAGCATTCCGCGAACAAATATATATCCAGGATGCACATGAGTGTATTTTGCTTTCTTTATTTTCTTGCTTTTTAAACAGCCTAATATTGTCCACGATCCCACACAACTCGTTGTGGGGTCGCCACCCATGGGTTGGGAACCTGTTAGTGACAGTGTCACATGGGACAGAAAAAGTTAAAGCAACAATAAATTCTTCTTCTTCTTCTTCTTCTTCTTCTTCTTCTTCTTCTTCTTCTTCTTCTTCTTCTTCTTCTTCTTCTTCTTCTTCTTCTTCTTCTTCTTCTTCTTCATTGTCTTCTTTTTTGTCTTCGTTTTGAACGGACCTAAAATCCCGCAGAAATGTTTGGTTCTTCATCCACTTCTGGGCCTGGTCTTGTTCTAATACTTTAGTTTTACATGCACACGTGTTTTCTCAATTTTGGCTCATGTGAATGCAGACTGTTGGTTGCTGGCCTCTCAGGCAGATGCACTTACACTTCTAACGAAGGGCCCCTAATTAGTCGCCTTTGACTGCATGTTTGATGCAGGGGTAATCGGTCTATACCCCGCCTCACCCCCACCCCCGAAACCCACACAGGGAGACAACTAGCAAAGAGTGGATACAGCTAGAATTGAAAGGGTTGCAGTGTCGCTGAGGAGAGAAACGTACAGTTGACATGCAGTCAATCAACTGTTGTGGGCCGAAGTGTTACAATCACGTTGAAAACAGATTTATCCAATAAACCGCTTATACTTGGGGAAAGGAAAAGCAGAATTGAATGGCAAAGAATTGGGGGAAAAGGGGGAAAGGGGGGGGGGGGTATAATGGAATTGAACTAAATGTAATAAAGTGACAGTGAAGAAAGCTATGTGTGCATATCATAATCGGCGACCGGGTCGTCCAATGGCTCACCGGTAGACGACTTCGTTGTCTGTCAGGAAAGTATTTAGGTCTGTCTGCTTGGATCGCAGTAACATTGCAGGGGTCATTTTCAGGGCTCTTGGTAGCGCAGATCTAAGCCATTTTATATGGCGCACATGACCTGGTCACAATTATATTCTAGAGCTCCCCCTTATGGGCTCCTGGTTGAACATCATTTATTTTAAAATAAGCAAAGCATCAGATAGGATCAGCTAACTGTAACGTATTACATGACGAGTTGCCGTGGTGCGTACAGTGCATAAACAGAACCTGTGATGAATGCACTGATATGTTCAACTTCACTAGGTATCACTAGATCTGGCAGTGAAATATAGCATAGTTACCGATACGAAGTCGTGGGAGGTTGATTCACGGTATGACCTCACTGTTTTAAATGAATCGGTATTGTGGAAATGTAAATGATTACAGATAGTTATGTCGGTCTGATCATTCCCCGTAATATCCATCCGCCATTAAGCCTGCTTTACTTGTTTAGTTGTGTGCATCTTTTTACTAGTTGATCATTGAGTTTCCTTGTTTCTGTCTGGGAAATGTTCGTTTTCAGCGTGTGCAGCTTGTTTGCTATTTGTGTTCAGTTTTAAAAGTAACCTATATCCAACAATGCGAGTATTATTATCTATTAGAAGGTCACTGGCCCAGTTGTTTTTATATTTGCTTTTTGTTCCTCAATTTTAGGGAGTACTAATGGTTTTTAGAAACTCTTCTTCTTCCCTCTTCTCTCTGCTCCTTGAATGCCTTCTGGCAGCAGGACGGGAAGAGATCTCTGAAATGGATCCTTCTGTTCGCTTCATATAATGTACTTCTCAGTGCTTTTGCTATTATTTATGGTGCAAAATTTCTTGATATTTTTGGTTACTGTCGTCCTTTTCATTCTAGTCTGTACGGATGTCTCTTCATTTTGTACAAGTACTAAGTGAATCATTTTGACTTGCTAGTCATACTTGAACTAGACTATAACATTCAGACTAGTTTAGCGCAACTTCCACACTGGGATGTCCAAAACTGATCCCGGTTAGATGCTGGCCGGGAAAAAGAAATGCATCCACATGCCTAGTCATCTCTTTGCAGTGAGCTTTTGGTCTCTGTTTCAATGTTTTTTTTTTAAGCCCTTATCACAGACTGCAAGTGCAGGAAGACCCTCAGTTCTGGAAATGACCCCTTCCTGTATATCCACATCATCAGGGACTGAAACGCTGTTAATTATTTTTTTCTGACTCTTTTTACACTCTTGAAACTCTTACTTCAAATCCATTTTTTTCCTTGAAAGGATGTGCCTAAAAGCAAAACATCTTCTTCTCGGGTAGGAAGCGATAACTACATTAGTAGTGTAAAAAGTTCCAGGAGCTTTTGTTTAAAGTACAACAGACGAAAACATCACAGTTGGATCCTAATCCGTACCTAGCTTGCTGTTGTATGTTTTATTTACAGCTTGTATGAACTATTTGAAATATTATAGTGTTTTAAAATATAATTTGACTTAACGACCAGTTCCAATGACCACCTGTTAGTCATCATGAAACACGGTCGTAATTGGACGAGACCCGGTACACATTTAGGTATGCAGCTCAATAAAGCACCACGGAACACTCATAGATGAGCTATTACAAAATCTCAGTTGAAGATCACGTAGATAAACGATAATTCAAGAACAAAGAGTTAATATAACATATGTTTTTGACAAAAGACCGCACGATTAAAATATTATTTTCGGAAAGACGTTGCGATTTTTTAAACTGAGAAAGTTAATGCATCTTGTCTTTGTATCTAGCACCATAGGAATCTTATTTCTTCAATGCACGAGTGTCATGCTGTCACATAAGTGCATGAGAACTCCACTGTGGGACAGCAGAACTTACGATATACTGATTCAGTAGGGAAAAGTGAGTAGACGACCTTATGCTTCAGGCTACCTCACCGATTTTGAACAGATGGTATGATGTTCCTGAAAAGTTAATTGCTCCTACACCCCAAGCATTTTTATAGTTGGGCTGTCTGTCATGCCACTAGGCAAATAAAGGTACATAAATGAGGTCTACTGGGCAGAATATTTGGCAGGGTGGGGGCTATATATTATATGATAGACTATTCAATATAAATTTCACTTCAAGGACCGATCGGGATTCAAAGCTGCCCCACTCCAGACGACGGAACCGCCTTATTGTAGCAACCCGTATGCTTCGAAATTCGACCAACTAGACATCAATGGATCAATACCTGAGAATTTATTCCTTCCGCCACTTCAATTTCCTCTGGGATTTCACAGAAATTGACATTTCTGTATATTGCGGTAAACACAATTGAACCAACCAATCAGGATTAGAAAAAGAAAACTGATCGCAATATACTAGAACCAACGGTGTGGTCCGATTTCTTTGTTATTTGCTTGGTTTAATATAAATTGCTGTAGCCTGTGGTTGTATTTTAATGGCCTGATTTGATTTATGAATTAGGAGTCTCTTTTAAAGGTTGTCTATCTGGTTGTTTATCAAAGTACACACATTCTCCCGGCGAGAGGGGCTGTCGGTAGTCTGGGGTGCATGTAATAATCAAGTTATGGCCATTGTTGCTGTTGATGTTTTTCTTATATATATATGTTTGCGAAGATAACCACGGTGGTGTATTTGTTACACTCCTGCATAGGGTCTCATGGTCGGGCTTTCAAATCCGAATATGTTTTTAAAATATTTCTTTTTAATTGTCAGTGACGCCTAGCATGGATGGGTACCAGGTAAAGTTCTGAGAAGCAAAGGACCTGGTCTGATGTTGACTACATCATCCGCCGAATGACGATTGTTTTGTTAAATATAGGTCTAGCACCGTAAACCAAATACGATTTTGGGCACGAAACAGGCTCCTTTTATGTCTACGAGTGCCCATCAGTACTTTTTGTATTCCAATACCTTCGCTAATTCTTTTTAAAAAAAAAATGTTTTCTATTTGATTTTAAAAACCCTGACCTAAATGTTTGTTGCAATGCGAGGGAAACAAAATACTCTAACAAGTTATTAGGCATAAAACACACAAAAAGCGCTTTTAAAATCCCACGATTATCTAGAAATCTTTTTGAAACGTGCAATTAGCAAGGCAATACTCTAGAAATGACACCCATTGAATGTGCACAGTCAGTTCCCATATCTTTTGAAATGTACACTCAGCCAGTCGACCTTTTAAAACCTACAATAAGCTAGACCAAGCTTTAGAAACTCAAGATTAGCTAGAAAACTCGTTACAACCACCTGTTGCCTAGACAAACTTCTTCAAATCTAAAATCAGCTAGACAACCCTTTAAACTGCAATGATCTATTATACCACTCTTTGTCTAGCAACCTATTAGAATTTTGCTAAACCAAGCCTGTATCCACTAATAAAACTTAGTATGACCTATGACATGCTCTTCTCTCGTTTGTTTTCTAAGAGTGTGTAATTGTAATAATCCTAGAATTCACTAAAGACTGGCAGTCATTGAATATTATCAGTGAAACACTGACCTCTGTCTTTACATTTTCGTGTTTCATTAGGATATTTTTATGAACTGTTCATTGCCAGCTTATTTTATGATGTTAACACATTGTGTAGATGTTTTATTATGTAGAACAATATCCCTCCTTGCTTATTCCGGCTTAATCGAAACACGTAGACGTCAACATTGACATGCTCTGTAAAATGACTCATTATCGATTAACAGCCTTTTCTTTTTAACCATTCAGGCTCCATGTGGAGAGAATATAGCTTAATCTTGCAGTTGTGTTCCACAATACAGTGGTAATTTTTGTCACTGTTGTAAATACTATGAAGCCGAAATATATCAGCAAGTGCAAAATAATGCGTGAAAGAGAAGCCAAGAAACTTAAGCTGAAAACACACGTATTTAGTTGTAAACTGCTTCAGTGTGACATACAAAACAGTTGTTTATCGAGACTATGTGTTTGAAAACTTAATATTCTGGAAAGTGTTCGCCAGCGAAATACAAGGCATGAATATCGAATAGCCATGCATAACTCGTCTATCAACTACAGCGAACATATAATGACTGTAACGGATGTCCCATTTTCCAATGCCAAGGATACACTAAACATCGTCACTGCTGGGATTCCGCATAGATATATCCATGATAAGTACAAAGACGTCTTCTTGAACATTACTGTGGCTGGAAGCACAAACGACAGCAACGACAGCCAAACGCTGTACCCGTTCCTCCGGCAGCCCATATATATGGTAGTGATACTCTCACTAGCCTATGCTTCAGTGTTTGTCTGTGCCGTGCTAGGAAACATCTGTGTCCTTTGTGTGGTTTCTAAGGACCGACGCTTTCATTCAGCAACTTACTACCTCATGGCTAACTTAGCAGTGGCTGATTTCATCGTGGCCATCGTTTGTCAGCCGATCACTCTTATGTCCAACTTGCTCACCGGTAAGATGTGTGGACTGTACTGTTGTCTGTCTGAAATGTGTATGCTGCAATACTGTATGTGTCAGTTATGCTAACCGCACTGTTGTTAGTATGAAATAGGTAGGCAGCACTGTTGAATGTGTCACATGCTCAGGCTGAAGTCATGCATGTTAGAAATTTGTTGCGCACGCTGTAGTGCATATGAAATGTGTTGTCTGCACTGTTGTCTGTAGGAACTGTGTAGATTGTGTGGGCTCACTGATGTGTGTATGACATGTATAGCTCTCAGCTTTGTATGTTTGAAATATGTTGTTATTATTGCTATGTGTGTGAAATGTGAAGACATTGTTTCTCAACCTTCTTACACCCGCTGTCCACCAAAATGATTAAAATAATTTCACAGCCTATCTGAAAGCCGCGACCTATCCGGCAACTAACCAGACACCAAAACAAAAATAAACGCCTATGGCCGTATAAATGTACACATCGGATGGCACAAACTTACAGTTCTTGCTTAGATGTTAGAAATCTGATATGCGTGGCTGAAGAAGTAATTCTGATAGACGAGGAGTTGCAAAAAAAAATGTACTCGATTCTCTATTTTTGTTGTTATCACTGATATGGCTTAGAAAGTCTTTTCAAACAAAAAGGCAGCTACAAAATAAAATAAAAAATTCGAAAGCTGTGTAACACCGGCATCGATTTTTTTTCCATTGATATCCAAAGCTTAGGCAATTAATACATGTAATGTCTGGACACAAGACTGGCACCAGGAGCCAACTCAGTCAACTTTTCTATTTCACGATAATCAAGGTTTTCAGCTCTCGTCTTTAAATGCTGACTTGTTATGTTCAATATCCCGTGTACCTCATCATTGTGGTAATCCTACAAACCGCAATCCCAGATGGGAAAAATAACTACCTACACCATCCTGTTTTTTGTGCAGTTATCTAGTGGGTCGAAGAACACTGGTGCAGACTACTGAGATATGCGTGAACTGAGCAGATCAGATCGTTTTATGTGTGGCATGTGTTGACTGCAATGTTGTATATGTAAACTGTCTAGACATCAAGGCTGTATGTGTAAACGTGAAGATTACAATTCTATATATGTGAAATCTCAAGACCAAAATGTTGTATGAGTGAAATGTGCAAATCGATTTTTTCTACGTGTCAAATATGTAAATCGCACTGTTGCATGTGGGAAATGTGTAGATAACACTGTTACTTATCCGTGTTGTATGTGTGACGACATGTGTAACCTGCACTGTTGTAAGTGTGCAATGTGTGAATTACACTGGTATATGCGTCAACTTTTTAGACATTCTTTATGTTTGTGTGTAACATGTGCAGGCTTCGTTTTTGTATATGTTGAATACATACACCGCAGTGTTCCATTGAGGTATCTGAGAAAGACTGTAGTGGAGTGACCAGAAAAGATAAAATCAACAATGAGGCCATACGAAATAAAGTCGGCACAGACAAAATTCTATATTACATACAAAGACAGCAAATAAAATGGCTTGCCCACTTAGAGAAAATGCCTTCTTATGCTTTATCATACAAGGGATATACCAAAAGAGGAGAGGTACCTACTAATGGTGACAGTAGCATTCTGATTAAACGTCTGTCTTGCCTTTCCTCTGAACCTCGAGCATCTGCCAGACCCTCTCATCACTCCCCGCTGCATCAATCGCACCAGACTGAGGTGATCCATCTGCTCCTTCGAGCTGTACATGCTCTCCCACAAGGCACTAACCACGTCTGCCTTATGTATCAGTTTTCCACTAAGTTGTGCAAAGCCAGCCAATCTGTTCCTGCCTGTTCAATTCAAAACACACCGGCGTAACCCTGTGAAAAAATCCAGACAATACTGCTCACCAGTGTCCTCCGCAGCGAAGCCTGCCACTCTGCACGAAACATAACTGTTCTGATCTTCCTCAGCATTCTTTTTGAGTCGGTTACAAACACGATGTGCGTGCGTGTGTGTGTCGTGTTCTCTAGCCAGGGGAAAGCTGCAGTGACCGCCTCCACCTCCATTCTTAAGCTGGATTTTGTGTTATCAAATGCTAGGCTCTGTTACATCAAATGTAGACCAAAACTTTTGCTAAGAAGCCCCACTCATTTCTTTTGCCTCTGGGCACTGCACAGTCTGTGTAAATTATCAAATCTTCTGAGCGAGCATTACCTTGAATTAATTGCCGAATTTCAACCTCTGTGGCACCTGCTGGCCAGTCTCTGCATTCCCGGCTCAGCGTGATTATACTTATTAAATTTGGGCAAGAGTTGATATTTAAACAGTCAATGCGCAATTATAGAAATGTCAGCTAAGTTCTACATAAGATCAGGATAGAGACAGGGGTGCGTTCTATTACCACTGTTGTTCATCACCAAATTTGAAAATATAACAAGAGAAATTTTTTTTTTTTAATTTTTTTAAATTTGCTTTAAAATTGTTTAAAATATCGTGTTTTCTGGAAAATGATTAGCCTGCCATCCATCGACCTGGGGAATCCACAGTCAGCACCATCTCCAAGCCAAGAGTACTTCGAAAACAGAGGCCTCAAGACCCCAGGCGAACAATAATCTCGTTCCCTAAGTTGGATTTTTTGTATTGCAGTTTGTCCCCCTACGGTCTGCAGAATGCAGGATTAACACCGCAAGGAATAATTTTCCACATATTTAAATTCAGGTAAGCCCCGTTCTTTGAACATCAAGAAAGATTGGCTAATAAACAGCATCTTTTCTCGAAAGCTGAAATATTTTGGTCATATCAAGCGCCACGACGGATTGGAAAAAAATAATAGCAGAAGGCATGGTACCAGGAAGAGGGGGGGGGGGCGCAGGGGCCTACCGACACGAAGATGGGCACAGGATATAGCCGACTCCTTGAATATGAAAATGCATGAGGCGGGAGAACTGGCGAGAAATCGAGTTTCTTTCAGGCAGACTGTGATGAGAGCGATGTTCTGCAAAGGACCTGCTACATGATGACGATGACGCTGTGTTCAAGCGTTAGGTCATATTAGGGCCCTGTCTTTTGTAAAGAAACATGAAGTTCCGCCCAGGCAAGGATTAATTCAGCCAGGGGATATGGGATTCACCTACTTAAATACTCTTTGAAACTGTGACAAGCCCAGAAAACCTGAAGTGGATTCAATCTTGTTCAGAGAAAACATTAGATTGGAAATCGGATTATTCCTTTCGATAAACAACTACAGACCATTCATGGACTACATAACAACTAAATTCCATATAAAGCTATCCAACATGCAGTAAAAGTACGTCAATGGAATGACCGAAACATTCCGTTGACTGTCTGGAATCCACCAAGGATATGTTCCTTTCTCCCAGCTGATTGTCACCTACACCGATGAAATCTTTAAAGTATCCCAAATTAATGATGACATTATGTGTAATGAACAGGTCTTTGCGGACGCCATGTCCCCGTGCAGAGAGGAATACCTACAACAATAGACAATCTAAACATAGCAGCTAAAGCCACGAACATTATGTACACATTTTTTTTTTTTTTTTTAAAGAAATAGCGCCATGATTTTAGATTTTCTAATCTCTTAAGGACCCATTAGGTGTTGTTGTTTTTTTTCGTTGAAATGGGCTGAAGTCTAGTTAGTGTTGTTGTAGCAGCAGCAGCAGTGGCGACAACCGTAATGGGAACAATAATAACAGTAGCAATAATAATACAAAAAAGAAAGTAAAGGACCCTTTTCCACGCCTTGAGGCGTAAAGGGCATATAGGGCTAGACCTATATTTTTATAGACCAATCGGCACAAGATGGGTGATGTGGTCAGTATCACGCCGAGCAATAGTAATAGTAGTAATTAAAGAAGATAATGATGACTAGGAACAGAAGAAGACGAAAATGAGGAGGAAAATTATACTGAGCAAAACCAGGAAGAAGTAGAAGAAGAATCAAAGGAGGTTAACAAAATACTTTTACACTTGGTTAACAAATACTGCGAGCTCGCGCGCGCGCACGTGTGTGTATGCGTGTTAGTGTGTGTGTGTGTGTGACAGCGAGAGAGAGAGAGAAAGAGAGAGAGAGAGAGAGAGAGAGAGAGAGAGAGAGAGATTCTAAGAATACCTTGCAAAAAGGAGAGGAGAAATAGTGACATCTTGAAAGATCTGAACATCAAGGAAGATTGGCTAGCAAAGAGCATTCTGTCTCGGAAGCTGAAATATTTTGGTCATATCAAGCGCCACGACGGATTGGAAAAAACAATAGCAGAAGTCATGGTACCAGGAAGGAGAGGCAGGGGCCGACTAACACGAAGATGGGCACACGATATGAGTGACTCCTTGAGTATGAAAGTACATGAGACGGAAGAACTCGTGAGGGACCAAGTTTCTTTTATGCAGACCGTGATGCGAGCGACGTTCTGCAAAGGACCTGCTACACGATGATGATGATGAGCTCATCTGCTTTCCGGCCAGCGCAGAATTCTTATTTATCCGTTTACTATTTTTAGTAAGTGACTCGTATTTCTGTAATTCCTTTTTGATTAATTCTTCCCCCCCCCCCCCCCCGGCCCCCCCCCCTTGATCTTGGATAGCTAAGTAAGTATATCGTTCTAAAGAAGCCAGTGCTTACAGAGACTCTCGCCTTTAGGCAATTGTAAACTGCTTTGCCCCCCCCCCCCCTCTCCCACAAACAGCCTCCCCTCTCAAGAAAAAAAAAAGGAATCAGAGACCAAGGAACGAACATGGTTTTTGGTGTAGATTACACTCCAAAGAAAAGGACAGTACGTTTAGGTGGAGGATCTATGCTGTACTGGGTATACATTTCCTATAAATTACAGAACAAGGAGAAATCTGAAACAACTTTTCCCCTCAGGATTGAGAAGACAATCAACTGACCGGATCACTCTGTATTGTACAATTATAGAATGGTGTAGCCGTGATTCAGGGCCTGGAGCCGACAGGACAATTTCTGGAGGTCTGAAGATCTTGGTGTTCGCTCCTACTCACTATTGAGGTAAATTTTCATTACTGACCTGTACTCTTGGAGAGGCGGCGCTGAGAATTGATAAAAACTGCGGTCTTTTATGTGCAAGATCCAGGTTGGAATCCTGGG